ACATTTTGGTAACCGCCACATTAAAATTATAGAGGTGCTGACGACCATGAAATTGCCAATGAAGCATACTTCAGAATAACGAAACTTGAATTTTCTTAAATGTTTTTCATAATGCATTTATTGACGAAAGCAGAGATGCAACCTCATAAAGTACAAATCGATCCTTACTTACACATGGATGTACTTATATTGGTCAAGTTTTTTGAATACATAAAATATTTATGGATATCATTTATTCCTTAAACTACATGAAACTTCGCTTCCATGGTTTTGAAAATTTGTTCGTACCTTATCATTTCTTCATTTATTTTTTAATTATTTATTTAATTGTCATTTAATCGTGACACTAGTCAACGAACGCCATTTTCATATTTTAAAAAGAAACCCAAATTTCTGAAATATTACTTCGTATCGTTTGACTTGTTTACCCGTCCAATTTTGTATTTATTATCCTTTCTAACATCTACATCATTCATTCTTTTTGGGTTTTTGTAGCAGTCGCAGCTCTTGACGCGCTACACACGATAAAAACACGTACTTATCTAAAATATTGCACATTGATTGTATTGCTGCTTTAGCGATTAATTTTTCGCCACAACGCTTACTTGTACGATTATAGCATCCATTAATCCTAGGCGATTGAGAAGGAGATACAGAGCGAGGGTGTCTCGTTGTTTATAACAGAAAAATCACGACTCAATAGATACACAACGTTGAATCAATTTTTATAGGTATCTTATAATAAATCTTATATAAATTTCAGGATTCTATTAACGAATCATGGAGTTATCGAACTATCGAACATCGAATGATGAGGCGCGTGAAGGGTGCTGAATGGCTTAACCCCTAAACGTCCGGATTGACGAAATTTTGTTCGCGATCGACGCGATTTTTTTCCATTTTTTGAGAATTGAAAAGACTTTGCACATACATAGATGTATGGGTATATAATAGGGCTGTGCGAGTATCCGAGTTTTCGAGTTTTACTCGACTCGAACTCGACTCGCCGATCGCCGAGTTCGAGTCGAGTTCGAGTCGAGTCGGGAAAATTCGAATACTCGATTTTTTTTCGGGTACTCGCAATATATTTAAGTTTTAAGTAAATAAATGATGAATTACCAGTCTTTAGACCCCTCCTTTTGTGTGTACGTGCTTATAAGTGTGATGAAGTGCGGTACTATTAAATTATTTTCTTCTTCCAATCCAATCCGCTGCGAATATCACACTTATAAGCATGTACACACAAAGAGAGGTGGTCTAGAGACTATTCATTTATCATGTATTTACTAAAAACTTAAATACATTGCGAGTACTCGAAAAAATAGATGATTCGAAAAAATTCGAGTATCCGAAAAAACTCGAGTACTCAAAAAATCGAGTACTCGACTCGAACTCGAGGAAAAAACTCGAATTCGACGAGTCGAATTTTTTCCAGTACTCGCACAGCCCTATAATATATAATTTGTATACACATGGATTTATGTAAAATTTAATGCTCTTTCAGAATCCGAGCTCAAATTCAAAATGTATGCTTCGTCATTTTTATTGTTGTTTAAACGAAAAAAACGTAAAAATTTGTGCGAAACATCGACTTCGAGAATTTTTACAAATTTTTCTAACCACTTTTGCCAAAAAAATGACGGCCATAAAGTAAAATGTTCATGCATATGATCATGCAAAAAACACATAAAAATGTATATTTTTTTACTCAAAACCATTGAGTTTAAAGAAAAAGTTTGTAGAATAAAAAAGTCTTTGAATTAATCGAAATCAAATCAATTTCAAAATTTTTTGATATGATTCCAGGAAATTAGGCTTCACAAATTTTTTGGAAATTGAAAAATCGTATAAAAAAATTCTGAAAAAATTGTATTCATGTATTCAGTAGTTCGAAATATAGCATTTACTGTTTTGCATAAGCAGAGGAAATTAGTTGCTTTCGGGATGCTGGTATCAAAAATTATTCATAAATAAAATATATCGAAGCCTCCTAGCAACACCATGCTACTGTAGAGCTCGATTCTGCAAGATGTTACTTCGACCACCCGTATAATGAAAATTAAAAAAAATAGAAGCTCGACTAATAATTGCATTTAACGTAGACAAATTAAAACTGTACAAATTTTACCTAGATTTGAGAGCGTGCAGTTTTAAATATCACACGAGATGCCAAAGTAGCACTATGTAGAATGAGTTCCGAAGTGGCATTTTGCAGATATGAGCTGGAATAAGCATTTCATTGCACTGCTCTGCGGAGATATATTATGTTGCTAAGAATTGTCCATTTGTAATAATAAAAAGATACAGATAAGCATTTCTACATAAAAAAATCGATTGGATCTGCAATGTAGATTTTTAAAAATTATTTGATACGTATATTATTATTTTTCAATTAATCCATTATTAAACAAGGTATGATGGAATATTATAACAAGAAGCATGATGTCATACTAATTTTAAAAATGTTGTACCGCCATTAATAATTGATTAATTAAAAAAAAAAAAAAAAAAAATAAGTGGTTTATAATTTTCTCAGAGCTTGCTTTAAAATGCGCTTGAAGCGTGCTAAGCGATAACTAGTTAAAAATTAAATGTTTAGGTGTGAAAAAGGTAATAGTTTATAAAACACGACCTAGCTCATCTAATTATTGAAAAATAAAGTAATAGTAATAAAACTTTGATAATTATACGAGTTTTTTCAAAGCGTTCAAGCTCTGTATTTCAAGTGATGTAAATATATAGCCTAAACTTAATTTAGATGTTTCGATAGAAATTAGTTGATGTAGTTGATACAGTGGTCATTGTAAAGACCCATTATAATTGTGATCTTTAGATAGATAGATAGATATATTGTATTGATTAATTTTAGGTAAAGCATTATAATTTTTTAAAAATTCAACACGGACACACTGTAATCTGTGTAATTTGAAGTATGTAGCCTAAGCTTCAATAAATATAAATCTTTTTATGAATGCTGTATTGAATGAAGGGAGGGAATTTACTCAACATTGGTGCCATTTGTCACCGAATAAACCTTAAGAAGAAATGAAATGTTTTTAAAGTAAAGTAGAAGCCCCTCCCCTGCGTAAAAAGAGTAACCTCACGCTCTCTTTACGCCCTCCCCAGTTTTCCTCAGGATAGTGCATATACACGCTTGACATCGCGAGTTAGCAAAATACATTCGCGCGGCTAGTCAGAGCGTTCGGATATAGCCGGTTCAATATTCGTAGCTTATTATCTTAGCTTATTAAAAGACTCCCTTCGATGTTGCTCCCCAATCGAGAGATTATTATCATATTATTAATTTCATGAGAACGGAACTATTACTTTTCTAGTGTGATCTATTCTTTTGAATCAAAAATCTGATTTCTCGTTTTAAAAATTGTGCGTGTGTGTGACTGGCAAAGAGCTTGACAGGTGGACATACAGGATGGCGCGAATATGCCACCTAATTAAATTACTCTTTTTACTCGGCTACTGCTTCTGCATCGTAAATGGAAAATTAAGTAAGTGTTTCTGAAAAATAGAGCATACTTAATATTGAAACTAATGCAAGGGGGGAAATGTGCGTGAAAGAAAGTTTTGATTGAATAATCACACGCATACGCTGCGAGCAAGTGAGCCGGGCCATATATTTATTATAACTTGTTTTCATTGATATACAAACACGCCTTCTTTGAAACGCCTCCACCTTGCAGATTATTGATGCCAATAGTTTTATTGCTCGTATCGATAAGTAACGAAATTTTTTTTCTGAATTACGCGTACTTATTCAGGTTGGCGCGATGCAAAAACAAGCAAGTTTTATTACAAAAAAGTCGGCCCGAAATAGACACGATCGAGTGGAATTTTACTGGCAATTAGTTACGGGGCAAAGTAAAATTCAATACTAAATGTAGCAACGTCTTGAGGAGAGAACTATCAATTCCAAACGGTATCGCATTCATTTATTACAGTAAAATTTTTTTTCATTCAAATTTGTGCATAGCTGATTGATCGATTAAATGCACGCACGTAATTTTTTACTCGTGTCATAATGCGTCTGCTTTATTTATGTTTTGCTTGTAGCACGGATACATACTCAATATCCGTACCGATCTCCACGGGTGCACGTGGCTTGCGATTACTTCAAAAATATATATTCTATCGTCGTACGAGAATAGTTTGTTTTAGTAATTAATTTAAAAAATGTATCAAGTTGATACACATGTTCTTCAAAAAGTTTATTTACTCATCAATGATCACTTTTCAGAAATCAGTTTGTGATTTTTATTATTCTCAGCAATTGGTGATCTAGATGCAGTCTTGCTAAAATAATTGTTTCGCTCTGCTGCACTTTGTATTCATGCCAGTTCTAACGAAACACGGGTACCACTTGCAAAATGAAAAATGCAAAGGTTTGATAAATATTTACTGTAATAGCTCGCGTGTTTGTGTGCGGCATTTATTTAATTGCCGAAAGTATGCGCGCTCGTCGAAACAAAAAGCGATTATATGTACGTATGAAAATTCTAACGTAACATATATCAATGCAATTCGCACTCAACTAACCACGCGTTTCTAACGCACGCGCCACACCACGATGTCTTCCTTTATAATTTCTCGTTTTCCAAAGTAGGTACGTGGAACTCCTCGCTTGCTTTAGAGAGCCACATTAGATAATCGATCGACAATACATTTAATGCATGGCATATGAATTATTGATGGTTTACACATTACACGATTATCACCCATGAAAAATCGCGAACTTACAGTGCATATATCATTTAGCAGATGCCCCAGTCATATAAAAATAAATGTCAGTTTTATGTCACCTTAGTATCTTTCTCAAAATGAAAACCATAAAGTTCTATTCAATTCAAGCTATAAAGCCAAAAATTAAATTCACCTAAAAAGTTGATCGAGCTATACAGAAACTCGTAAGAGAAAATTTCGCCAATGATTTATTGGTTTTTCGCTATTCGTATTTCAAATGCGTCATCGAACTATCAGAATAAACAATGAGTAAAAGTTTTGTTTTATTACGAGCTTGTCAATATTCATCTATTCGAACGTTTTTTATATTGCTGAAACGACTGAAAATATTTTTCATCCTTGCAGAATGCCCGCAACGAAGCACTGGTTCACCGGGTCGACAGATTGTCTGTTACACGAGTACTCAGGACACGGCCAAAATCGAAACGGCCATATGTCACTGTACTGTGCTCGTTCAGCAGAATTACAACCCAGAAAAGCTGGATCTTTCTGGTGAGTTTGGCTATTATTTTAATATACCTTTCTTTTCATTTTTTTACACATTCTCAGTTATAATATAGGATAACTTTCCGTGCACACGCGCCCATAGGTACCGTCAACTATCAACTCTCAATTTTCATTCTTAATTATATAAAAAAATTTTCTGATACTTTTTATTTATCTTCTACCCTTTATTCTAACCCTTTACTACATCGTACCGGTGATTAAAGAGAATTGCATATTAGTAGTTGATACCGCACTTCGTGGAAAAATAGAATTTATAAACGAGATTTGTAATTTCTTTATAAGTGTGGGGGCGTTATCGAATTCAACGAAGATTCATATAACAAAAAGGTTGTAGAAAAATGTATTGGAAGTATTGATTATAATCATTGTGAAAATTAAAAAATTGTTTTTTAGCGTCACTTTCTATATATATGAAAAATAATCTTAAATTTTTTCGGTCGCAGTTGCTTATTTTGCATTTTCAATTAGTTATATCAAGTGGACTAACTGAAATTCTCATAAAAAATCGAATAAAGAAAAAGATGATTGATTAGTTTTAATTTTTGTCTCAGTTACAAGCTTACTAAAACTCGAGTAATTATTGCTCTTGCCTCAAGTCCATCTGTAACGCGATGCCACGGAAATTAGTTCATAATGGAATACCATACCACTAACTCTAGTATATTTCATTATATTTTATTTCATGTTGATTATTTTATAATGTAATATGGTCAACTAAAAGTTTACACTTGAGATTCGTCAATCTCGACTTTGATAATTAAAAGCATACATAACAATTCGATAGACATTACATACGTTTTATAAATATCTAGTCCAGATCCTAACTTGAAACTTATACTCGAAGACGGATGAGAATTGGATAATTCCATTTTGATGTAATCGCGCTTAATAGAGCCAACTTGAGCTCCTTTTTTATTTGCCGACAGTAGACTTTCACAAATGGTTTATATATGCACTCGCACTCACACAAACACCGAAGTTATTATATATACAATTTCAGCGATATGCACATAAAGTCGTGAATATATACCAACTCAGGTGGATTGAAACGTAAAAATTCCCTGTAATAAGAATCCATATTATAAGCGGACATACGCACGGGCACGTGTTTGTGATAAATTATAGGAAGTTGCGGCACATTAGTAAAAATATTTGTTGACTTTCTTTTTCTCAGACCCTGCTTAACAAATATTAATAATAAGTTAAGAACGCAACAGCAAACTTATGTTGACCATAACTTGGTTGTAAATTTCAACTAATCACGTGTGAACAGAACGATTTTTTCATTCTGACTTTGTATAAATTTATTAATTAAATGAAAAGAAATAATTGTAACTTGCACACTTTTAAAACGCTGGTGTCTCGTAAGTAAAGTATATAATACATAATTCGGAAGTGCTCTGCTATATTAATAGACTAAATTATTGGACATAATTTCCTATTTAAATTATCCTTGAGAAGCTGAAATATGCCATATATTTTTATTACCATAGCCTTGAGAAAATATTTCGCTCGAATATACTTCACCAACCTATGGAAAGGTGCGAAAATAACTTCCCTTGAATTGCTTCTATTCAGCTATTTTCGCGTGTTTTCTTACTTAAAACCACAAAACGCTGTTTTTCGTAGAATATAAATAAAAAATATACGTATGGGTCTTAACCCAAACCTTAACTTTCTAGGTCCATAAATCAATCAGAAAAAAAAATTCAAAACGAAACTTTTAATGACTTTTTTGCCGGCATAAAAATAAAATAATGCAACAATGATATCTAGCACAGGGCTCGCGCATATATATGCTCTTGGGTACAATAATGATACAGTGTTAAAATTGAAAAGCGCTCGATGTTTATTAGTAACATTTTACAGGTATATCGGTACTTGTATTGTACTCAAAATTTTTATGGAATTAGAACTAAAATTTATTCATATTTTTCCCAAGTGAGAGAAGAGATGTTGCCTTCTACTAACTAAATTACGAAATTCACTTTTTCAATACTGCGCGCGATGTATGTGCGATCCTGGTGCGGTTGAAAGTAATTGATCAAACGACGCTTTGCACTGATGCGGGTTGGAACATAAACTTCCAATGTCTGTATTCTCTAGCCTTGATTGTTTTTTTATTCAATAAAAAATGGACTTTCTTTCTTTTTCAAAATTGCGTAATGAAAGAGCTACAACATAAATAGATCACATAGTCGATGAATTTTACAAGAGCTAGCCAAGAAAGGAGATACATCGATTGACGCAGCCGAGTAGTCAATCGAAAAAAAATCCATGAGTGCGTATAAAGTGACTTTTCATAGTATAACTGTGGTTTTCAAGGATCTTCAACGCTGAAAAGTCAAGATATAATGAAAATAAAATAAAATCTTGACAACAATACCTCGGGACTTTTTTAGGGTGTGAACAATTTTTTTTTACAAATGTTATTAACTCTTTAATCTACACCTTATTTTTACCTAAGAAAATTGAGTAATTTTTTTTCAAAATGACGCTAGTAGCTATGATTCGGCGCTGTTAACTTTATGATAAGAAAATAATTTTGTTTGCTCAGACTAAATTTTCTCATTGACAATGATTCAAAAAATAAAAAATTATTATTTAGGTTTTAAAAGTCTGCAAAATGCAGCGAAAGAGGCTAATCCAGATCTTAAAGTGGTATTGTCTATTAACGACAAACATAATCTGCTAAAAAGTCTGGACACGAGACGAGAAGCTATGGAAAATATGATCAATATTTTAAAAGAGGTAAGTTTTTGTTGGGATAAGTTTATTATTTAGCATATATCGATAGTATCTCAGGTATCATTTGTAATTATTTTTTACGCATAAGCTAGTATGCAAATATATAAGAACACTCAAATGAATCGTTTTCGACACTTTGTTAAGTCGAGCAATTTTTGACTTATGGGAAAAAAGAAACTGCTGAGTGTTGCACATTGTAGCTTTACAATTATTTCACACTTGGTCGAAAAATTGCTTTAAATCCTAATTTCTTTCAAGTTGTAAAATACACAAGTATTTATACGGGCAGCATGCGACGATTATAATGCATATTATATGTAATTGGGCAATAATGGAGTAGAAAACAATATTCATGACACGTACGAGGAAACTTGAGGTAAAGATAAAGATCTGATCTGAAGATATTATGTAAGCGTAAGTGTGACTATGAAAGCTAGTAAAGTGCTCAAGACGCCTTGAGATCGAAGTACTTTTTTTTAATCAAACGCATTACGACTGAACAATTAAAATTCATAATAATTTTCGTACATTTATGTGAGAAACAATTAACGTACTACTCAAATTATTATTTGTATTGGTGCAATCAAAACTCGTAGTCAACAAATATTACTTGATAAATAAATCAGTTAGCGTTTATCTATAATTTAATCAATCAATATTAGAGATATAGATTCAGTCAATCGTATCAATTATTCAGCTTTATTGGTTAACAATTTTACACGAATTTTTCTTCTATTAGTTTATCGTATCTCGGTTAAATTTTCAATTCGAAAAAACGTTCCGAATATTTTCCTTTCTTTTGAACAGCGTTATGATCCATTTGTTAGTTCCATAATTCATGCACTCAATAATAATATGAAGAGTCTTAACAATTTTTTTATTGTAAAAATATTTCATAAAAAATTCGTGAGATAATAAATTATACAAATTTAAGAGGTGTTGTGAATCAATCTGAAAAAAACAATACTCAGTTAATATCAAAAATCTATTCTTTTATTTACAAGGTTGACGGTGTCGAACTCAACGTAACTGGCATCGACAAAGACCAACTCGTTTCTTTCGTTAAAAGATTGATGGACGACCTTAGGAGCAAACGCCTCAAAAAAATTATTCTACTGGCATTGCCAACGAAACCCGAAGAATTGGCCAAACAGTTTGAGCTCAAGGAACTCTCTAAGTAAGTTGATTTATTTATGATATAATTTATGCACTGTTGCAAGCAACACAAAAAACATGTCGTACCTTTGAAATTTCAGCGTCCTTATAAAGTCTTATTTAATTTTTTTAATAGTTTGGGTATTTATGAATTTGACTCAAAAGATAGTATGGTGATTAAAATCACGCGGATAACGTAAAAGTTTAGAATACTTTTAATACAAGTTATTCAATCTGTGCTTTGATCATTTAGTTCAGTAATCGGTTTGTAGTACTGAAGAAGTTCATTATTCAATATAAAGTATAGATATAGATTCATAAAATGGTTCATTAAATTATTTAAATTCCCATGGCATACGGTACTCTTAATGTAATCATTGCAATTCACTTCTTTATTCTGCTCCTCGAGAGATCATAAATCTTACCGGCTATGGCTTAGTCTCAAACACAATGTCATCGGCAAATAATCGTAGCATAGTGTCATCGTAAACTGAGACTGCCCTACATAAATCTAAATACACAGCCGATGACGAACGCTCGCTTCAACCGAATAATCATCGAGCACTATAGCAGCTCTTCTGATAATTACACTAAAATTGCATCACATGTACACACGCACGTAAATGCTATTGCGCGTACTTTTTATGGTAAGAGAATCGGACAAGTGTCATCCCTGATCGAATAAAAACATGTCTAAGTATTTGTCACCGTTCGTCGTCCAGTAAATCCAGCCTGTTTCGCCATTGCCGCCTCGTTAGACCCACTCTTTTTCGTTGCTTGCTTGGAAAAACATTTTTCTACGCCGCCAGTAAAAAATATACTCACTCAAGGTGCTAAGCTTTAAAATCAAACAATGTTTTTTTAATGTACCACAATTCAACTGTAAGCCTTATTATACAGTATGATAGTATTTGAATAATTACTAGTTTTCTAAACTTTGCATTGCTTCAAGCTGACATAATATATTATTCTCTTACAGGTACGTTGACCTTTTTACAGTTGCAACGCATTACTTAAGAGATACCGATGAATCATACCGAACATTTCACCCATCTCGATTGATGGGTCTTTTTGATATGCTTAACACTGACAGCTTGGTCGATCTCATTAGTGGCATGGGGGCACAGAAACAAAAAATTGTCATATCAGCTCCATTAAGTGCTTACAAATTCACTTTGGCTAAAGTTGAGGACAATACTCCTAGATCTCCAACAATTGAAGAACACCCTACTGTGATTGATCGCAAAAAAGTAATGATATACATGTAAATGGATGACATTTTTATTTGACTATAGAAAATTTTGATATTGAGTGTTGAACTATTTTTAGATGTGTGATACCTTGGGTAAAGATAATAAAAATAAATGGACCATTGAGCGCGATGAAGATTTAACTGCGCCATACGCATTTGCGAATACAACATGGATATCATTCGAGGATGATACATCAATAAAGATTAAAGTAAAATCAATAAAAGTAGAATAACCTACTGGAAAACTTTAATAATGATTAATATTTTAATTTTTCACAGGGAAAATATGTAGTTCTCCGAGATTTAGCCGGATTAGCATTAAGAGATGTAGAAAGCGATATTGAAAACGATTGTGGAAGCTCGTTAATCGAGACAACACGACGAGGATTCACTGAAATGAAAAGAAAGGCTCGCGATGTAGTACTTTCGTCGTTGGAGAATGATTTGAAGGTAATAATTGCAAAGTCTTGCAGTCGCTAAGAGCGCTAACTTCACTCGGTGATTGGTCACTGACTCTGCAGTAGCTCGAAAGATAAATAGTTCTATCAATGGTACAACAGATTGCACAGTATCAGTTGCACTTTTATTCATGCGCACCAGGAAAATGTTTGAAATAATTGAGTACAGAGCAAAGATAACTTTGATCTAATTTTTCAATTGATTGAAATTTTTAAAAAATTTTGTTGAATTACTACATACATTTTCTTTGTACCTACAGTTGATAACAAACAAGTCCCTATAAGATATACTTTTCCCAACAGATTATGTATATACCAAGAGTGCCTGCTTATTGAACAAATTATAATTTTCACAATCATTAGATTCATTCGTTTAAAATGTCATTTTCAATTTTATTTATTCTAGGGCACTGAACTTTCCCTGCCAAGTAACATGCAATCTTCAGATTTTCGAATTGCACGGGTGGTCGATATTGAAGGAAAAGTTCGTGCTGTACGAGAGCATACACAAACATACTTTAACTGTCCAAGACAAGGATATTTTGTTCACCCGAGAAGTTGTAACAGGTAATTTAAAAAATCGTATGTTTTTATTTTTTAAATCTATTGATGAATGATTAAAGACTTCTAAAATCATGCTTTGTTTAAGATTTTATCGGTGTGTAAAATTTAATCAAGCCGATGATGATTATTTCATATTCGAATTCGATTGTCCGGCTGGATTAGCTTTTAATGAAGATACAGAAACGTGTGCATGGCCTGGATCAATATCAACTCGATCTGTGTGTCACGGAAGTAGTGAAATCGAGCCGGCACAGGGCAAATTCCATTGTCCTGGCCAAGGTTACTTTGCTGATCATCATAATTGCCGATTTTTCTACGCCTGTTATGATCTTGGTGAGTAACGCACTCACAGAAAAACTGAGTATATAAAGGGAGCATTTTCGATTCACTTATACTTTCTCAACCACCTCCTAAAATTGAGAACAAAAATTCGAATTCTAAATTAGAACATTTCCGATCTAACTCAAGCTATTTCATGTCTTGCGTACATCTTAGATAATATGCGTGGTAACAACAATATAGTATATTTCTCGACGGGTGCAGCTATGATTTTTTAATCAAATATCTTGATCTGAATTGTACTAGTGAATATTCAGTGTACATAAGTTTTTTTTGTTAGATATTAAATTAAATATTAAAAATCATTCACTAATGATTTATATTTCTGTTTTTTCAAATAAGTCTAAAATAGGTTAGGCAATACGGCTTATGGCGAGTCATTTCGGGTATTGCCTTAAATTTTTAGGAACTTTCTAAACTTTTTTATGACTGATAGTCATTTATATCTTTATTTGTCACAATTAATTCACAAAAATCATGTTTTTCGGATGGTGTAAATTAAAAAGCTCCCTTTGGTATAAAAAATTATCATATTGCAACGTGAGCATATTCTTGGTAACATTTTTTCATCTGAAATTAATCGTAATGATTTGTAATGATAAAATGATAAATGAAATATTACAGGAGGACCGCAAATGGTACCTTACGAGTTCCGATGCCCATTTGGATTAGTTTTCGATGAGCATCGACTTATATGCGAATGGCCTTGGAAAGTGCCAAGTTGCTTTGGTCATGGTCACGGTGGCGATCATAAAGTATATAATTTTGGAAGTGATAATTATAACAGTGGTTCATTCATACCCCATGGTGGAATTGTTGGATTGGGAGGTTTTGCTGGCAATGACAATTTGAACACGTTTGAAACGTCAAATTTCGGAGCTCAAGATGTCAACAATGATGATTCCGCAGATTTTAATAATCAGCACGACTATAACGTAGCGCCTTATAGTACTGATTATCAATTCGATGAACCAATTTACAATCGACAAAATTCAGACAGATTTCCAAATAATGCATATGCTAGTCAAAGTAATAACAATGAAGGATCAAAATTAGCACATCAATATAATCTAATGCAACAATTACCTAATTACAAGCCACAACCATTTCAAGATTATCCTGAACTAGCAAGTTTCAACAATGGTCAAAAATTCATAAATCCAAATGATCAACAGGCGTCCTTTAATCCAAATGATCGTCAACAATTTATTAATCCTGAACCAGGATCAAGTAATTTCAATAATGGGCATTTATCCAAAACACCTAAACCAATTTATCTACCACCTCATACTACACATGCAAATTTTAATGCCCAAATGCCAGAATCAAATTTTGATGAACAAAATTTAAATGCTCCCCAACCGCAAGCAAACTACGCAAATTTAAACAATCAAAATTCACAACCAAATTATGACGATCTTTTTGCACAAAAACCACAGTCCCCCTATGTTAATTTAAATGCCCAAAAACCTGAGAATAATTTCTATAATCAAAACTTGAATGCTCAAAATTCACAGTCTCCATATGATAATTTAAATTCTCAAAAACCACAGTCCCCCTATGATAATTTAAATGCCCAAAAACCTGAGAATAATTTCTATAATCAAAACTTAAATGCTCAAAATCCACAGTCTTCATATGATAATTTAAATTCTCAAAAACCACAGTCCCCCTATGATAATATAAATGCCCAAAAACCTGATAATAACTTAAATAATCAAAAATTCAATGCCCAAAAACCACAGTTTCCCAATGATAATTTATATAATCAAAACATTAATGCTCCAAAACCACAGTTTTTTGATGGTGATTATAATTCACGAATACCGCAGCTTCATACTGAGAATTTTTTTACTCAAACACCACAGTCTGGTTATAATTATTATAATCCCCAAATACCACAATTTGATTCCGCTGACTATAACGCTCAGAAACCACAAACAAATTATGAAGATTACAATGCCCAAAAACCTGACGATAATTTTTATAACCCAAACTTGAATTCTCAAAAACCACAGTCTCCCTACGACTATTTTGATACCCAAAAACCTCAACCTGACTATGATGATTTTAATGCTCAAAAACCAGAATTGGACAGTCAATATTACGATAATCCAAGTTCACAACCAGATAACAATAAAGAAAAACCAAAACCCAATTACCATTATTTGAGTCCCCAAAAACCTCAATCAAACTATGAAGACTTTAATGCTGAAAAACCTCAAGACAAATTTAATAATCCATATCAAACCCCACATTATTCTCCAATAAAAAATGAAAAACCAAATAATTCTGGATTGAAAAAACCTGAAAGTTTTAAAGGTCAAACCTCCCTTCCCGAACCTAATATTGGTTCCAATTCAGACTTGTTAAATAATCAAGACACTGACGACTTTGATCAGGAATCCACTTCAAGGGATTATGATGGTCGTGGTGTTACCGATAATTATAACACTGGACCCTTTGCTGAAACTGAATATACACAATCAGAAATGACCGAAAACCCAGCAGATTTTGCAGATTCTAAAAATGACTTAGGAGGACCTACGACATCAGATTACTCTCCTACTGCTTATACAGGTACATATAAATATAATGTAGATATTTATTTAATCAAATGATTTAAAAAGTGATTTTAATGTGCATTATATGCTTCAAATTTACTGGTTTAAAAGGTCCAAATATTTATAATTCCACGTATAATGGTGAGGCTGGTTATCCAGCATCTACTTTATTGCCATTTATTGACCAGCAAAATACTTTGTCACCTGCTAATAATCAAGAAATGACTGTGAATTGTAAGTTTGTGAAATTCAATTCATCACTAACATGCAGATTTTTTTTAATAATTGAACTTAATATAGCGATAATATACCATTCACATCTATCTGTGGGCCTATCATCTAGCGAACATACGGGTAACCAGTACACTAACCAAGCTGAAAAAAGTTTACTATTGCACAGCCAAAATCCATCTGGGTTTTCAAATAACGGAAGAACCCATAATCATCTCAATGCCATAGTTGGAAACAATTTTTATGACAATTCTTACTTTGGTAATTATCATACCATCGATTAATCATTAATAAACAGTTCACAAAAATTATTTATTTTTATCTATCAAAATCATAATTCTCGATGAATATAGATTCAGCTTAAGAAAAAACTTAACTTATTTTAACACTTCATTCGTGTGGTACATTCCCAACGGAAATTTGCGTGCAATATTTAAAAAATTTTATATGGTTTTATAAACTTTTATTTAGAGTAATCAATGCATTACGAATTTTTATAAAAGTTTACGAAACGTTGTAAGAATTTATAAAAAATCATAAGATTTTTTAAAAGTTGATGGTTTCATTGCAAACTTGACAAAATATAAACACAACTATTGTAGAACTTCGGTTCGATTTTTTTTAACTCAATTTCCGTCGGGGATAAAAGCACTTACGCTTAATACTTCGCAATTTTTGAGTCCGATAGATTTTTTAAATTTACCTTATGTTCACGATTAAAGTTGGAACAACTTTCAATAAACCATCAACCAAATCACCGAATTACAACACAAAACCATCGGAAAATGATGAAAATGAAAACTCTCCACTTATTGGATCAACAATAGCCTCATCGAATAACAAAATTTCTCCCTATCGGGGTCCAACTAAAAGACCGAATGAATCATCTGGTAAAAAATAATTCAAAAATTTTTTTTTACTATAGGGTCATTCTCCTACTTTTTTAAAAAAGTGTGCGCGGCGGTATTTCAAAAAAATCTGAAAAAAAGATATGTTATTAAACAACATAAAAAAAGACTTTTCCTAAAGTTTCAGCCCGGAAAAAAATTTTTGGAGGTGCCAAGCGACAAATGAGTGTCGAAAAACGTGGTTTTTTTCGCTGTTTTTTGTCGATTTTCGAAAAATTCTACAAAGCGGAGTTTTGACTTTTCAGAGACGTAGTTGGGCTCATTTTTTTCGTCTGAAAAAGTACTTTTTGAAAAAAAATTGACCCCGAGGTTTTCGACGATAGCCACATCTCGAGCTTAATTCAAGTAAATAGCTAATTTTGTGGATTTCCAACAATATTCAAACGGCTCTACAGCAGTCAATTTTGAAGCAATTTAACTTTTGAAACCGGCAAATTAAAGGTCTTTTCAAGACCTTTAATTTGCTTTTTTCAGAATTTTGATTGCTTCAAAATTGACTGATATAGAGCCGTTTGAATATTGCTAAAAACCGCAAAAATCGCCATTTTTCGAGTTTTGTAATAGCTGAGGTTCGCTTGGAGAAACACCGATCGTTTCTAAACTTCGGGGTGTTTTTTGGTGTGCCAAAAGCTAAAAAATGGCGTAGGTTACGACCGGAATATTGCACCCTAGCTCCGTATAGCGGCATTTGAAATATTCAATTTTTTCCG